TAATTTAATACGAGTACAACTTCTTTAATAATATCATTGCTATTTTTATTCAAGCACTTGTTTGCTATGGATGATCGATTTGACGTAGCTTAAGCACGAATTGTTAAAAAAAAAAACAGATTGTTCTATCTATCTGTATCTGTTAGATTTCACAAAAACCTATCGGAGAGCTGCGCCAGAGAAGGCCGCTTATAACCAGTTAATTTACGTAATTTGTATGGCCACAATGCCGTATAGAAAAAACACGATCTTATCTCAGAGCCATGCAGATAAGGGAGAGCAGCTAAAAAGACAACAACTGAGAGCAACTTTCTACGAAGTCAAATTGAAAATCGGAGCATATGTTTTCCCTAGAAAATGACGAGTAATATGCATGGAGCATTTCGGTTTGGTAGGCGGCACGGCCAGACACAAATGCAGACAGACAGACATGCGAAGAGAAGAAGAGAAATTGAACAAGAAGCAGAAGAAGCGGCAAAATATGGTCCAGACAACGGACAGCAGATGCTAAAGAAACAGATTGTAAACGAATATGATATTTCGATATGATGCACACTCCTTGCCCAAACTCCGAATCAGAGCCAGATCGAGACACAGACTCAGACTCAGCCCCAGACGACCGCAGCGTAGCATGCAACCATAGGGGTGCAATTTTTGTGTGCACGTAACGGTAGAATACACTTTAGTTGCTGTTGCTGTTGCTGTTCTTTTTTTGGAAAGGGATCTTCTGCTGATCTTCTGCCTGTGCGCCTGCGCCTGCGCCTGCGCACATGTGTTGACTGTCTGTCCGCTCGGTCCCTATCTTAGGTTGTGTGTGTGTGTGTGTACGCGTGTGTGTGTATCTGATTATGGTATCGATCTTGAACTCAGGCTGTCTGCAGCAGGTTAATATCCAGCTCAAGCAAGAACCAGGATCATTAAACGTAGCATGGGGCAACGAACCAGCTTCTAAATGCTGTGAACTGTTAGTGAACGCACATCTACTTTTTGGAATCGGTCAAATGTCAAAAGACCTGAGAAAATCAACTGAAAAAATCCATAAGAATTATTGGAAAAGGAAACATATGTTCTTCAATTCATTCTATGTATGTATCTTGCTTTAAAATGAATAATTAATTTATGCTTTTGAGAGGACTTTTCGATTTAACATAGAGCCCATGCTCCTCTAAAATGTTTACCCCATTTTATGCGATTAATATTTTTGATTATTAACTTTTTAAATCTTTAGTTATATACGATCATAGCCCCCAGCGGGCTTCCAATTGTCAGGTAAGAGAAGTACATGCCGAGTGTTTTTATGGCCCATATTATCAATGATCGTAAATGATCTTGAGCGTTCATTGATCCACATTCCGGGCACATTAGGAAGCCCAACAGTAGCGGCTTAAATAGCGATCGCTTGGCTCCCAAAAACAAAACCACAAACATTCACACACTCCCATTAACTAAATGGGAATCGATGGCCGTAAAGGTGAGAAAAGGAAAACACAAGAAGAAATGCAATCAAAGGTAGCACCGGAAACTGTAACAGTGGTCAATTCAATTATGCTCAAGGGTTGCGAGTTGGCCAAACCCCTCCCCCCACTAGTCGCAGGCAAACAACCTGTAAGGTCGCCAACAGTCCTGATGGCTAGCTGAATGGCTGTGATAGTTAAGGCCGCGGTGGTAACTTGATATAAACTGGTTTTTCCTAGATTCATTCAAGAAAACAGGCAGCACACAAGCACAGCATACCATAACACACACACACACACACACACACACACACACGTACACCTGGGCAGAGCGAAAGGGTTTCTGTGCTGTTGGCTAAAGTTGAATAAAAATACTTCAACTACTGTTTTCAACACTTCACTCACCGGTGGGGCAATAAAACAGAGGCGTGTAACGCCCCTCAAATGCTGGTAGAGGTAGCCGCTGGTATTTTGTTACTTTTCTGCTTTTTTGTTGTTGTTTTTGTTGTTTTTGTTGTTTTGTTTTCTTCTTAAGAGTCTTTATTCTCTTTTTTATTAGGGTATCCAAATTAATTACAACTTCAAATTAGGCGCATAATCTTGATCGGGAAGATAGTCAGTCGCACGGCAAGAAAGCAGGAGCTGCCGACAGCTTTAGTTCTCACTCTCTCCCTCTCACTCTCTCTCTCACACACACACTCTCTCTCTCTCTCTCGCTCTCTCTCTCTCTATATGTGTGTATCTTTTCTTTCTCCTTTGCGGCTATGAAACAGTTTTGTGGTCGCAGCTTATGGTGTGTATCTGTATCTGTATCTGTAACCCTCTGTTTATATCGCGTGGATCAGCAGGCAGGTTGATTATGGCCGGCAAGAGAGATTACGTACGTGCCTGAAACAAAGCGCACGAAAGGAAACGCAGAGAATTGAGATCGGGGATCGGATCGGATCGGGTCTTGGCTTTAGTTCGGCTTATAAGACGCAACGCTAACGCTGCAGCTGACGACAACGCTGACGCTGACGCTGACGCCGACGCGGCAGAGATCGAACGACTACGGATCAGAGCGACCCACACAGACAAGCCCGACTACACTACACGCACACACACTTATGTATATACGCGCACGCACAGACGATCTTTTAAGCGATTTTGTGGTTTTGTAGACAGATTTTTGAATCTTTGCCGTTGGCCTTTGCTGGCTGCCGCTTTGTGGCTCTTTTTCACGAAAAGGTTTAACGTTTTAGCCGCTTATTTGGCTCTATCAATATTTGTACCGCCGCCTTACTTCGATATATAATTAATATTTGCTTAAACAGAAACAGCATTAACTTCTCTATTTCGATTGTCGAATTTGAATTGCACTCATTTCGATGACACAACAACAACAAGATTTGGCTATCGATTGGCGTTTCTGTTTGCTGCTTATTCTTTGGCAACGACCGACGACGACGCACTCGCGAGTTGCGATCAGAGCAACGAGCAGAATTCTTGCTAATTAAATTGTGTACGTTTGTTGTTGTTTGTATTTTTTGTATTGCGTATAGTTAAGGACCATTCAAATATTCAAACACATAACCGTTAAGCAGTGTGGGCAAGAGACACAACACACACATCGCGTCCAAACGCAAAGAGAGTCGACAACAAACTGAAGCAGGCAGCGCAGCAGCAGACACAACAACACGCCGAACGCCGACGCCGACGCGTTCATACATATGTGCGAAGAGAGGGAATTGAGCGAGCGGAGCAAGTGCCGAAGCAGAACAAGAAGAAGGAGCGGCGAACAGCGAACAGCGAACTGTGAACGGCGAACGTGGAGCTCAGAGTGTAGCAACTGATAACGCCAAAAAAGCGAGAGTACTTTTTTCGCGCTACTCTTGCATGGGTGTGCGCAAAATACACACAATGAAACACAATACAAGAAGAATGAATACATACACACAGATTCCCATTTATGTATGCGTATGGGAATATGCAAAATAAGTCTGTCAAATGCACGCAATACAAAGATCCCAAAAGAGAGCACTGCGAGTGGGAGAAGCAAGAGCTACTATTTTCCGCAAGCAAAACGAACAAGAACCCACACGCACACACATCGATGTGCAGTCTGAGCGAAAAGAAAATCAGAATAACCCAAACAACAAAAACATAGTGTTTCCATACGAATAACAACAACGCCACTAAAAAAAACTCTGCGTGGTCAGAACGCTACAAGTGTGTGCGTTTAGGTAACTGCATGAGTGTAAGTGAGTGTAACTGTGTGCGTTTGTGTAGCTGCGACTGTGTGCGGCAATCATTTTTAGCAAGCGACGCACAGTGACACAGAACTGCAAATGAATTGTTGAATATGCCCACTGTTTATACGAAGCGCTCCCAGAAAGGCTGCAAACAGGTTTACAAATATACGTACATATAGCCAAAGACATACATATGTAGACACACACACACATGTATACATGCAAGTGTTTATATTCTGGCAACGCTTTTGGCATAAATAAAATACATATACAACGATTCATTTATATGTATATGTGTGTGTGTATATGTAGTCGGGCAGCACTGGCGCTACAGGAAAGGGCAATAAGATTGAGCGGCTCCTGCTCCCTGTTCCAGTGGCAGCCTTGCATAACGAACACGTGTAACCAACATGGTTGACTACCAGCGACAGCGTTGCCCATAACAAAAAGATTGTCAACTTGGGGTAGGGGCAGCAATTAAATTACTTCACAGCGACAAGTGCACGGCGCAGCAGGACGAACTGAACGAAAGAGACCTGCCATTCGGTATGAAAGAGAGAAAGAGAGAGAGAGAAAGACAGAGAGAGCGCATGAGCGAGAGTCACAAAAATGAGAAGAGCGCTTGCGCGCAGCGTAGCTCTGTTGGTTGTGTGCATGTGTAAGTCGTGTGTTTGCGCACACACATGCATAGGTATGCGTTGCTCGCCGACTGCATTTTTACTACGCGTGTAGGTGAGCCGGATTTTATGAATGAATTTGGTTGTGTGCGTGTGTAATTTGATTTGAGGCTAAAAACATGCACAATGCAAGCAGACAAATTTATGGCCATATAATAGAAAATAAACTGCAAGCTTAACAGACTGAAATTAACATACTTATATATACACAATTAACATACATAGGTCTATGAATTTATGAAATATTACAATAACTGGTAAAAACATTCATTATATGTGCATGTATTTAAAATGTATTGTTTATTATAACAGGCAATCTCGTAAAATGATTTTATAAGATATTATTGCTAGTTAAGTTATTTACATGAAAAGCTATTTCCTTCAACTTCCTAATAAGATACGCAAATTGTTTTATATTATTATGTATTAAATTTAATCTGCCTTTAAAATGGGATATTCGTTAACTCAGCATATTTCGTCAAATTACGAAGCCAACTTCACGTGGGTTGACAATCTGCGCGCGACCAACATCATGCTGCTCAAATTTGCGTTTGCAGCCAGCCTCACGTGGCGCATATTTGTGACTCACTTGAAGTTGGCTGCGCGTGATAAATATTGTACTATCGATATTTTAAAGTACATTGCACATCACCAGCTGCAATAAAGGCGCCAAATTAAGGCTGCAGTTTCGTGTGATAAACATAAATGTGTTGCAAATAAATATTAAAATGGCAGAAGCTGGCAAAACTAAGGTGCTGCAAAACACTGGCAAGTTTGTTAGCGAAACGCGCGCTGAGGGGTAGGTGTGCATGCAGCCATTCTCGATAGAGCACTAAATCTATTGGTCTTTGTCTTGTTTTGCCAGCGACGACTTCTTCAATGAAGCTGGCTACCGGCAGTCGCGGGAGAATGATAAAATCGACTCCAAATATGGCTTTGACAGAGTCAAGGATAGCCAGGAGCGCACAGGCTATCTCATCAATATGCATACGGTAAGTTTTTCGTTGCAGTATAAACATAAAAATTTCAATATGCTTTCTTTTTACTTACAGAACGAGGTGCTCGACGATGATCGTCGTCTGGTGGCTGCTCTGGACTTGTTCTTCATCCAAATGGACGGTTCACGTTTCAAGTGCACAGTGGCCTATAAGCCGTATCTGCTGATACGTCCTGAGGTGAATATGCATCTGGAGGTGGCCCGCTTTCTGGGCCGCAAGTATTCCGGACAGATTGCCAGCCTTGAGCACATCAACAAGGAGGACTTGGATTTGGCCAACCATCTGTCGGGTCTGCAGCAGCATTATCTGAAGCTCTCGTTTCTCAATCAAACAGCCATGACCAAAGTGCGTCGCGAACTAATGGCTGCAGTGCGTCGGAATACGGAGCGCGAGAAATCCAACACGTACTACATGCAAATGCTGGCCAATTCGCTGGCCCAGTCTGCCAGTGGCTCTGATGATGGCAGCGGCAAGCGGCAGCAGGATTATATGGACTGCATTATGGATATACGGGAGCACGATGTGCCCTACCATGTGCGCGTATCGATTGATTTGCGCATCTTTTGCGGCCAGTGGTATAATATACGTTGTCGCAGCGGCGTGGAGCTGCCGGTTATCACTTGCCGGCCGGATATATTGGACAGACCGGAGCCTGTGGTGCTAGCCTTTGATATAGAGACAACAAAGCTGCCCCTTAAATTTCCCGATGCGCAAACCGATCAGATCATGATGATCTCCTATATGATTGATGGCCAAGGCTATTTGATAACCAATCGGGAGATCATCTCCTCCAATATAGAAGACTTTGAGTACACGCCGAAGCCGGAATTTGAGGGAAATTTCATTATATTCAATGAGGAGAATGAAATGCAGCTGCTGCAGAAATTCTTTGATCACATCATGGAGGTGCGTCCGCACATTGTGGTCACCTACAATGGTGACTTTTTCGATTGGCCTTTTGTGGAGACGCGTGCCGCTGTCTACGATCTGGACATGAAGCAAGAGATTGGCTTTTCCAAAATGCGTGATGGCATCTATTTGAGTCGACCCTCGATACACATGGATTGTCTGTGCTGGGTGAAGCGAGATTCCTATTTGCCAGTTGGCTCACAGGGCCTAAAGGCAGTGGCCAAGGCCAAGCTGCGCTACGATCCCGTTGAGCTGGATCCCGAGGACATGTGCCGTATGGCTGTGGAAGAGCCGCAGGTGCTGTCCAATTACTCAGTTTCTGATGCGGTCGCCACCTATTATCTGTACATGAAGTACGTGCATCCCTTTATATTTGCCCTGAACACCATTATTCCCATGGAGCCGGATGAGATATTGCGCAAGGGCTCCGGCACATTGTGCGAAACGCTGCTCATGGTTCAGGCCTATCATGCGAACATTGTCTTTCCGAACAAGCACCAGAGCGAGCTGAACAAGCTGTCCAATGAGGGTCATGTGCTCGACTCCGAGACCTATGTGGGCGGCCATGTGGAGGCGCTAGAGTCGGGCGTCTTTCGCGCTGATATACCCTGCCGTTTCCGGCTGGATCCGAACATGGTCAAGCAGCTAATGGATCAGGTGGACGCTGTGCTCAAGCACGCCATCGAGGTGGAGGAAAGCATTCCACTGCAGCTGGTCAGCAATTTGGATGAGGTCAAGCAGGAGATTGTCCAGGCACTGCAGGGCCTGCACGACATACCCAATAGACTCGAGCAGCCGGTCATCTATCATTTGGATGTGGGCGCCATGTACCCGAATATTATTTTAACCAATCGCCTGCAGCCATCGGCAATGGTCACCGAATTGGACTGCGCTGCTTGCGACTTCAATAAGCCTGGTGTGCGCTGCAAGCGTTCCATGGACTGGCTGTGGCGTGGCGAGATGTTGCCAGCTTCGCGAAATGAGTTTCAGCGCATACAGCAGCAGCTGGAGACGGAAAAGTTTCCGCCACTCTTTCCGGGTGGACCAGCGCGCGCTTTTCACGAGCTCTCTAAGGAGGATCAGGCGGCCTACGAGAAGAAGCGTCTGTCGGATTACTGCCGCAAGGCGTACAAAAAGACAAAAATCACTAAACTGGAGACGCGCAACTCGACCATTTGCCAAAAGGAGAACAGTTTCTATGTGGACACTGTGCGCGCCTTCCGTGATCGTCGCTACGAGTACAAGGGCCTGACCAAGACGGCCAAGGCATCGGTGAATGCGGCCATTGCCTCGGGCGATGCTGCCGAGATTAAGGCGGCCAAGGGACGCGAGGTTCTCTACGATTCACTGCAGCTGGCTCACAAGTGCATTCTCAACTCCTTCTATGGCTATGTGATGCGGCGTGGTGCGCGCTGGCATTCCATGCCCATGGCGGGCATTGTCTGCCTCACCGGCTCCAACATTATTACCAAGGCGCGCGAGATCATTGAGCGTGTGGGTCGTCCGCTGGAGCTGGACACCGATGGTATCTGGTGCATATTGCCGGGCTCATTTCCACAGGAGTTCACGGTGCACACCACACATGAGAAGAAGAAAAAAATAAACATATCGTATCCCAATGCTGTGCTGAATACCATGGTGAAGGATCACTTTACCAACGATCAGTACCACGAGCTGCGCAAAGCGGAGAAGGGCGAGCCGCCCAGCTACGACATACGCGACGAGAACTCCATTTTCTTTGAGGTGGACGGTCCATATCTGGCCATGGTGCTGCCCGCCGCCAAGGAGGAGGGCAAGAAGCTAAAGAAACGCTATGCGGTGTTCAATTTCGATGGCACCTTGGCGGAGTTGAAAGGTTTCGAGGTTAAGCGACGCGGTGAGCTGCAGCTGATTAAGAACTTTCAGAGCTCCGTTTTCGAGGCATTTCTGGCTGGCAGCACATTAGAGGAGTGCTATGCCTCCGTGGCTAAGGTAGCTGATTATTGGCTGGATGTGCTCTACAGTCGCGGCTCCAATCTGCCCGACTCGGAGCTATTCGAGCTGATTGCCGAGAACAAGTCGATGTCCAAAAAGCTAGAGGAATATGGCGCACAGAAAAGCACATCCATATCAACGGCCAAGCGTCTGGCCGAGTTCCTGGGCGAGCAAATGGTCAAGGATGCGGGTCTGGCCTGCAAGTACATCATATCCAAGAAGCCCGAGGGCGCGCCTGTCACTGAACGTGCCGTGCCGCTGGCCATCTTTCAGTCGGAGCCCAGCGTGCGGCGCCATCATTTGCGTCGCTGGCTCAAGGACAACACCATGGGCGATGCGGATATACGCGATGTCTTGGACTGGAACTACTATATTGAGCGCTTGGGCGGCACCATCCAGAAGATCATTACCATACCCGCTGCGCTGCAGGGCTTGGCCAACCCGGTGCCGCGGGTCCAGCATCCGGACTGGCTGCACAAGAAAATGCTGGAGAAGAATGATGTGTTGAAGCAGCGGCGCATCAATGAGATGTTTACCAGCAGGCCGCGACCAAAGCCTGCGCTGGCAACAGAGGATAAACAATTGGAACTGGGCGACATGGAGGATTTGGCGGGTAAAGAAGATGCAGAAGCTTCGGGCAGACCGATTGTGACCAAACGGAAGCGTGTGCACCTAGATGACGACGATGAGGAAGGCAATGCGGCAGAGTCCACGCCGCAGCCAAAGACATGGCGCCAGGCCCTTGGGGCACCGCCCGCCATTGGTGAAACCCGCAAGACGATAGTCGAATGGGTGCGTTTCCAGAAGCGCAAATGGGCCTGGCAGCAGGAGCAGCGCCAACGCTGTCGGCAGCAGAGCAAACGGCAGCGCAATGGCACTGAGACCGCAGCAGGAGCGGCATCTGCGCAGGCCGCAGCCAGAGCCACAACATCTGCGGCCACGCTGGGCGGATTTTTGAGGCGTGCACAGCGCACACTGCTGGATCAGCCCTGGCAGATACTGCAGCTAGTGCCGGTCAACGATTTGGGACAGTTTACCGTATGGGCATTAATTGGCGAGGAGCTGCATCGCATCAAGTTGACGGTGCCGCGAATTTTCTATGTGAACCAGCGCAGTGCAGCGCCGCCCGAGGAGGGTCAGCTGTGGCGCAAGGTACACCGCGTTCTGCCGCGTTCGCGACCCGTTTACAATCTGTATCGGTATAGCGTGCCGGAGCAGCTGTTCCGGGACAATTGCTTGGGCATGCTGGCCGACTTGGCCACGCCCGACATCGAGGGCATCTACGAGACGCAAATGACGCTCGAATTTCGAGCGCTCATGGATATGGGCTGTATTTGTGGCGTGGAGCGCGAGGAGGCGCGTCGCCTGGCTCTACTATCCACGCGCGAACTGGAGAACTTCAGCATTGAGCAGCTGGAACAGCGCCCACAGTCGCACATCAGATACCTGCAGCATGCCAGCAGCAAGCTGCGCAAGATCTATCTATATCAGCACAATATACCCACAGCCAAGAAGGAGATCTGGGCACTGTTTTTGCTGCCCAGCAAGAAGGCCTTGGTCTTCGCCCTGGACACGGTGCGCGCCAATCAAATGCCTAACATGAAGCAGCTCTACGTGGCGGAGCGTCTGGCGCTGATCAAGAATCTGCAGCAGGCGGCACAAATTGAGAAACTGCCAGCGGAGGATTTCAGCTTTGAGGTGCTCATCGAGGTGGATGTGAAGCAGATCTACAGGCACATACAGCGTGCCTTGTCTGCCTACAAACAGGAACAGTCGGGACCCACCATGCTCTGCCTGCAGACGGCCATCGAGGCAAGGAAATTGAGCGCTGCCATGCCTGTGCTGTTGGAGTTTCCGCAGGCCCAGATACACATCTCCGATGACGCGAGCCTGCTCTCTGGCTTGGACTGGCAGCGTCAGGGTGCGCGCGCTGTGGTGCGTCATTTCCTCAACTTGAACAATGTGCTGGAGCTGATGCTAGATCAATGCCGTTACTTCCATGTGCCCATAGGCAACATGCCGCCGGATACGGTGCTCTTTGGTGCGGATCTCTTCTTTGCCCGCCTTCTGCAGAAGCACAATTTTGTGTTGTGGTGGTCGGCCAGCACGCGTCCAGATTTGGGTGGCCGTGAGGCGGACGACAGTCGCCTGCTGGCCGAGTTTGAGGAGAGCATCACGGTGGTGCAGAATCGCGCCGGCTTCTACTCAGATGTGTGCGTCGAACTGGCTCTGGACAGTCTGGCCGTGAGCGCATTGCTGCAGTCGAATAGAATTCAGGAAATGGAGGGCGCCTCCTCGGCCATTACGTTCGATGTGATGCCGCAGGCATCTCTGGAGGAAATGATCGGCACGGTGCCGGCAGCTACATTGCCCAGCTACGATGAGACTGCTCTTTGCTCCGCTGCCTTTCGTGTTATGCGCTCCATGGTGAATGGCTGGCTGCGTGAGGTGTCCATCAACCAGAACATATTTTCCGACTTTCAAATCGTGCACTTCTATCGCTGGGTGCGCTCCAGCAATGCCCTGCTCTACGATCCAGCGCTGCGTCGGTCACTTAATAATCTGATGCGCAAAATGTTCTTGCGCATCATAGCAGAGTTTAAGCGCCTGGGCGCCACAATAGTCTATGCGGACTTCAACAGGATCATAATCAGTTCGGGCAAGCGGAACGTCCCGGACGCTCTGGGCTATGTGGACTACATTGTACAGAGTTTGCGCAACAAGGAAATGTTTCACTCCATACAGCTGAGCTTTGAACAGTGCTGGAATTTTATGCTCTGGCTGGATCAGTCTAACTTCTCGGGCATACGAGGCAGGCTGCCCAAAGGAATCGATGAGACTGTCTCAGCTATAGCGGTGGGCAGCACAACGCTGCGTCAGAGCCAGGCCCGCAATGAACAGGTCCACGAGGATGACGATGATGACAATGATGATGTACAAGAAGTTGAAGCTGGTCTTGACGAGCCGCTGGAGGAGCAAGAGGAGGAGGAGGAGGAGGAGCTCTCCCTAGAACTAAATTGGACTATTGGCGAGCAGCTGCCGGAGGAGAACGAGTGTCGGGAGAAATTTGAATCTCTGCTCACGCTGTTCATGCAAGCTCTGGCGGAGCGCAAGACCACGGAACAGGCCATCAAAGATATTTCGCATTGTGCCTTCGATTTTGTGCTCAAGCTGCACAAGAACTATGGCAAGGGCAAGCCCAGTCCCGGGCTGGACCTCATACGCACCATTGTCAAGGTGCTGAGCGTGGATAAAGCATTGGCGGATCAGATTAATGAGCTGCGCCGCAATATGTTGCGTCTGGTGGGCGTCGGTGAGTTCTCAGATCTGGCCGATTGGACAGATCCCTGTGATACGTACATTATCAACGAGGTCATCTGCAAGGCGTGCAACCATTGTCGCGACCTGGATCTATGCAAGGACAAACATCGCGCCATGAAGGATGGCATGTAAGTGCATTCGACTAACACAATTTATATCGATAATGATGCATTCTTCCCACTTGCAGACCCGTTTGGCTGTGCGCTCAGTGCTATGTGGCCTATGACAATGAGGAGATCGAGACGCGTATGATTGATGCGCTCCAACGCAAGATGATGTCCTTTGTGTTGCAGGATTTGCGCTGCGAGCGCTGCAACGAAATCAAACGCGAGAATCTCGCCGAGTTTTGCACGTGTGCTGGCAACTTTTTGCCTCTTATCAGTGGCAAAGAGATTGAAACGCTGCTCAAGACATTCAGCAATGTTGCCGGCTACCACAAGATGCAGTTGCTCCAGCAAACTGTGCAGCAGGCGCAGAAAACGCCTCGCTAGCAATTCATCTGGAAATTGTAAGTAGCTTTTAAATATTGCTTTTAGTTTGTTATCATTAAATTCGTGTTCTTAATCAATTTGCTGTTCTTGTGCTGAGTTGATGTGCATTCGAACATGTTTTTGGAGATGTGATTGATCTTGTTATTGGCAAACTTGATTTCGTTGTCTGGTTAAATCTGTCTGATATATAATATAGCTAAAGTCAGGGCTGTTGAAGATCAGTTCAGAGCGTTCACATAAAATGATTCAGCAGATTAAATGTTGAACAATTAGTGTGAATTAGCAAAGCTCCAGCAATTTTTTAAGAAAACATGTTTTATTTTATTATAGTAATAATATTTGATGCAAGCTTTAAAGCGTTAAAGTGAAAATAACTAGAAGAAGGGTAATATAGAATTTTTAAACCACGGACACGGCCTTCACATCTCGAATATACTCCTCGAAGTTCTTGTCATCCAACAGCCCAGGATCAAAGTCGTTTATTATTTGCGGCAGCACTGGATTATCCAACATTGTCGTATGATTGCCCTCAATTACCTTCAGCGTGACCTTACCCGATGTCAGCTTTGATACGCCATAGTCTTCTTCGATGTCCTGCAGAGAGACCTCAGCGGGGCGGACTAGTGTAATGGGTGACTTCAGGTCTTTAACGCTGTTCAAATCGAAGTTTGCAGCACTTTTAACTCTACGGAACATGGCCTCGACCATTGCGCGGGAGTAGTCTTTGCTGTAGACATTCTGTTTGTCAACATATTCCATGAACAGATCCATTTTCTCTTTGAGTGTGTCCAGCTTATGGAAGACTAGAGCTGCCGATTCCTTGGTTTCCTCTGGGAATATTTGATTGACAATACTAGAGAAGAGCAAGTTATATAGATCGTTATCCGTGAAATTTGCACCCAAATGTAGGTTCGTAAGTCTTGTTAGGAAGTGTGGGGCACCGTCGATTAACAGCACATGCCCACGGAAGCCCAAATTCTCCAGCAGCGCCGCCAGTTGGAGAGCCACATAGGAACCATAAGAATAGCCAATAAGGTAGAATGGATCTGATGGCTTCAGGAGCGCTTTAACATGCTACGAACAGAGAAAAGTTCATTTGAATTCATATCAAGTTTTGACAACTTAAACGATATTTTGTGGAGATGATGGTAATGATGTTATAGGATTCTTACCTGCAATGCATGCTGAGCAATTTCACTGACGGTCTCCAATTCAGCAAATTGATGGAGCTGTAGGATATTCGTCCTGCTCTTCAAGCTGGAGCCTATTTTGTACCATGCTTGACCGGCAGTACCCTCCATGCCGGGTATTATGATATTTGGTGGAAGGCTTTGCTTTGAAGATGCCGCTTGTGTTTCCAACGGATACATTATTTGATCACAGTGGGCTTCGTCACCCAGGTTACGCAGCAGCAAGTCCATGCCCAGGATCTTGCCTTCAGATGCGAAAATCATTTTGACCGCATCGGTATCCTTCTCCCTGGATTCCATAAACTCCTGCAGCTTTTGGAAGGTAAGTGAACGCAGATCCTGTGGCGTCAGAACGAGCTCAAAGTCACGTTCGAGAGTTTGCTTGATTTCAACTGCCATAAGGGAGTCCATACCCATCTCGGAGAGTGTTGTGCCAAGTGACACAGACTTCAGGTCACGTATGCCCATTATGTTCATTACCGTATCGATAATACTCTCGTTTCCGGAGCGTCCAGAGCGCTTCTCGGCAACAACCATGCTAGCCACAATCGCTGGCTCTGCACTGAGCAATGTGTCCAGCTCCTGTAGGCACGACGAGATTCTTTGCTGCAGCGTTCCACCGATTTCCATGTCTATTTTATCCTCAGCCATATCGGCGACCAGCCCAACCTCGCCCACGGCACCCCATTGAATGGCCTTAGCGGGAAGTCCCTCCCTATGGCGGCACTCAATGATGCGCTCCATGACAGAATTGGCCATGCCATAATTTGTTTGTCCGGCATTTCCGCGACCACAGGACACGCTTGAGAATACTACGAAATGCTCCAGTTCAGGACATAGAGTGCGCGACAACACATCCAAATGTTTGGTGGCAATTGCTTTCGGCGAAAAGCTCTGTACGAATTGCTCCGCATTCTGATTGGCAAAGATGCCGTCCCGCAGTGCCACAGCCAGATTGAAAATGCCGCCAACTGGACCCAGTTTGGCAGCAGCCAGCAATAGATTGCGACAGCCATCGAAAGTAGATATATCGGCCGTGTTAATGACTATTTCGCAGCCGTAAGTCTTCCACAGCCTGTGGTTAAATCGAGAGGCATTGTCAGGATCATGAGAGTTAAGCTATCAAGCATATACATACGCAATGCGGTAGCTCTGATAGTCCTTGGTGATGCCACGGCTGGAACTCAGCACTAGCTTGCGGGCGCCACGTAGAGCCATCCAATCGGCTAGCTCCATGCCGAAACCACCCAAGCCTCCGGGAATAACATAGCTCATATGCGGTTTAAAGTAGACTTGACTAAGGACGCGCACCGGCAACGTTTCAGCCGCTTCAGGAGTGTCACGCACTTTAATTATGACTTTGCCAATGTGCTTGCCACCAATCAGATGCCTGAAGGCCTGCTCAATTTCATGAGCCGGAAAGACTGTCACTGGCAATGGCTGTATAATGCCACTGGCAATGTCCGCATCAATAAGTTTTTTCAAATACTGCAGATAGCAATGGATTTAGTTGGACTTGATATTGATATGTGCAACAAATAATTACCCAAATATCTTCGTCGGGTGCCACCAACAGACTATCGGCTAACACAGCATGGAAGGTAAGCTCTTTAAGGAAGCAGCCTAAGCCCAGCTTGCTATCGTTGGCCATATCGAATTTGCCAATCTCAAGGAAGTGGCCCGATTGTCCCAGACAGCGCACTGAAGCCAGCAGCTTGTCTTCCGACAAGGAGTTCAGCACAAAGTCTACACCCTTGCCATCAGTTTCGCGCTGCACCATTAACTCGAAGGACGTATCTCTGGAATTGCCGATGTGCGACTCTGGGAAAGATTTCGTTTATTTTACGTTATTTGCATAAATAAGAATCTGGATAAGTAATGCTTACCTTTCAACTGTGGGAAGGTATCCAAAAGGAATTTCTTCTTTTGGGGTGTGCTACAGGTGGTGAACACCTCCAGATTGTAGGCCAATGCCACACGAATGGCCGCCAAGCCAATACCACCGGTGCCAGCGTGTATAAGTATGCTCTTGCCCTTGCGAATGTCGGTGGCCATAAAGAAGGCATAATATACAGTTATGTAAACAACTGGAACCGTAGCCGCCTCCTGCAGGGACCAGCCATCGGGAATTTCCCAGATAAGCTTTGAGGGCTTCTCCACATAAGAAGCAACGCCACCTTTGACCACCATGCTCATAATCCGTTTGCCTGTTTTCATGTTGATGCCGGAGTATTCAAAGCCCAGCACACAACTTTGATCGATCCGGTTCGCTCCATAAAGTTCAACTGCCAAACGACCCGTGGCAAGCATTACGTCTCGGAAGTTCAGCGATGAGTAGGCGATCTTGATCATGCAGTCCTCGGGAACCAGGGGTCCCTCGAACCAACGCAATGAAGACAAATCTCCGCGTTGCATCACATTTCCATAGATGTGATCTAATCTAGGCTTGACCTCATCATTCACGGGCAGATGAAGATGCCTGAGACTGCCCCAAGCGCCCTACATGAATAATTTACAATAAACTATCATGAATATGGATAATACAATTAGTTACTTACATCTCGATAAATGTTAAAGGCCAGACCCAATGCGAATTGACTCGAATAGAAGGGATCCGCTAGGCTAAATTCGGGTGCTTTGGCATCATCAATGTAGAAACAGCTGACCATATTGCCATCGGGCTCCTTTCTCAAACAATTTACCAAGCCAATCAAACCGTTTAGTTCTTCCTTGAATGCGTACACAACAACAGGACTCTTGCTGCTTATGGCGGACTGCACCTGACCTATCCACTCGAAGTTCTTGTCAGTGTCAGAAACCTTGACAATAGTCGGTTGTATTTGCAGTTTATTTGGCACCTTTTGGAGAAGTAGGAACACTTCCTCGTTGTTGTCAATTGGAATTACCGTAATCAAACGGAATTGTTCGGGCAGTTTTAAGCTGCTTAGGTTCATCGTGGGTCGCTCTCTGATCAAAAGGAAACCATTATCAATGAGCACCTTTTGGGCATTCTTAATAACATCCTCGTTGAGCTCGCCGCAAATGCCGCCCGCCACCACGAAGTGATAGTTGGACAAAGTGGACAATTTTCCATTTTCTATATGTATACCAGGCATATCTTCAATCTTCCTACCGGTCAAATACATATACTCTCCGGTTATAACTGGCAAATCCTCAATGGCATCGGTGAACTTGTCCAGCACAGTGTCTCGACCATCAGTATCCACCTCCACCAGTTTTATCTTCAACACCGGAACATTCTCAAGGGCGAGCTGTACACAGATACGTGCGGCATTCGATAGAGTTACTTTCGGAGCTGGCAAATAGGGCACAAATTCGTATTTCTCCAATACTGGTATGCCTGGCGGTCTGCGCCTTTGGACTGGACTAGCATGGAGTCCTGTCAACTCTATGCCACCTGCTACAATGCGATTAAACTTATGATCCACGTACACATCAAGCACTCGATTCTCGGGATCCATTTTGCTCATCAAATCGAAATGATGTAAGCCATTAATACGCAGCTTACGGATCTTCGTTGGCAGCAAAAGGGAGCGTGAGTCTGTGCCCAAAATATGGATTTGTAGCATTGCATCCATAAATGTAACCCAGTTGAGGTTCCATTCGACTTGACCATATAAGCCATCCGAGCGAGCGCTCCTTACCGCACGGAAGCCACCGTTGTAATGGTATCCACGCAGTTTGAGCTCCTTGTAAAAATCTTTTTTGGAAACCATCGGGAATTTCGATTCCTTTTCGAAATGATAGACTTCCGGTATGGTGGGATTTTCAATCTCTCTGATTGTGCCTGTGACCACTAAGGCACCAGCATCAGTTATCTGAAAATAATGACAAATCAAATAATTTAAAGTTACATGTTAAAATGCGTGTGCCTTTTGCTTACCTCAAAGTGGCCCGTGCCATAGTGAATCATTAC